TACTGATTCACTTGAAGCTCTAAGTACATTTGTTGCAGTGTTCTTACATGCCTTTAATGGTGTAAAGCTCTACAAAGTATCCTGTGTGAAAACTGTATCGAACCGCACCACCTCACTCTGCAATTATTCCGATAATACAGTGTCCTTGTTGAACGTGCTCTGTATTCCATACTTAAACATATATATCCTTTACAAGGATAACTGAGCTACAACAGAAGGCAGAATCTGCCCTGAAATATCTGTATTCTTCCTCATCTTTTTTGTTTCTCCTTTTTTGCAAACTTTTTCTCCTACGCTCCAGGCACTGTCATTTTAATAGTGAGGACAGCCAAAGTGCTTCTTCATTAAGATGACCATTTAGTCACCTACAGTGATTTTTTAATATGTGCCAGTATAAGCTCTAAACATTGGGTCCCTGAGTATATAGAAACCCCCATAGTGCATTCTTCCATCAGACATAGAGGTTGGGAGCTGTATAATATATTTGTTTGGTTAGTATCGTACAAAAACTTCTTATGAGGTTAGATTGACTAAACTCTGTAAACTATGAATATGTCTCTATATTCTAAATATTAGAAAAAAGCATAACTGAGATGCAATGATTATGGAAATATTGTAAAATAAGGGTTTTCACAGATTCCAGCCATACAGTCAAAATAGAAGTGAGAAGACTAGAGAGTGGAAAAATAGGAGAAAAGAAAATTGACAGGACTGAGATGACCAGGTCTCACATTACTACTCCCCTCATTTTCTTTGTCTTTTTATTTTGTAGGAGTTTAGCAGAAATGTGAAGGTTCAATGATAATTGAACACATTTGGATGTGTAATATGAAAAATTGCATGTATTTCTGATGCGTGCTTAACTTCGAGTGTCCAATACCTATACATGGTATTCACACGCTGGAGTTTGCATACACAGAATGAAACCAGACAGTCTTGCCCGGATGTAAACATATTTTGTAATTATGTAATTTGAAAAATCAAAGCTTCGTAAATGCATGCATTTACATTCAGTGTGGTATATGAATGTGACAAATAATGTACCTTTATTTTCCAAAGGCAAAATTTTCCCATCTCACAAAAGCAACCCACAGCAATAGAATCCATTTCAGCTGTAAACTGCAGGCTTGATGGGTATATAGTTTAAATATCATGCTGCTCCTTTTTTAAATTGGTGTTTTTTAAACCGTGAATTTATTTTGCTGTTTTTCCATCAAGTTCATTTGTATGAGTGTCAGTGCAAAGGGGAGGGAAAAAACAGTATTTCAGCATCTCTAGCTGTCTGAGAGCAAGTAGTTTTGCCATCCAAGGAGCGAACTGCAATGGGAAACCCAGACCCAAGGCACAGAGGTGTTCATTACCAGACAGGCTTCACTTCCCAGGTACCACACGGTTCCTTTAGGATCCTGTTACACCATTAGGTTCCCTCTTGCAGATGCTTATGATAAGCCACTGGGAGAGTAAATACTGAAAGGCAAATACTAAAGTATTCTCTGAAATTCATTGTGTCCAGAAAAAAATGGACACTCAGCATTGTTTCCTCTTCACTTCCTTCCTTCTCCAGTTAACCTTCACAGTATTCCAGCAAGGAATTTTAACGGAGCAGTGTTTTGGGATGGAACACGCACCGTGGTACCACCACACTGGCAACTCAGGGCCTCTGCACAGCAAAACGTGCCAAGAACATCTAGCATTTGTAGCAGCATTTGCTGCTTCCGCAAGCTCGGCTGACAGCTGCTACGAACGGGGCTTTGAGTGGCACCAAGCCGCTCCTTGCGGGACTAGAAAATAAAGTGTCCCTCTAGCAGCGATTTCTAAACTGAAAATGAAACTCTAAATGCAAGAAACCTCTTTACTAGTACTTTGTAGAGGGCAGACTATTATGGGATGAAATTCCTAATGTTTCTTGACAGTGTAGTATTTTTAGAAAGAACTTTTTTTTTTTCCCTGCTCAGCAATAGTGACTATTTGCCTTTCTTTTACTGGAAAACTTACAGACCTTTGATTTTGATGGAGTTGAGGGGACAGATCTGGTTATTGATTCGTTTTACCTTGCAACAATGGGAATATTAAATATTCGCATTTGGTAATGTTTCCTAGCCCGCCTTGCCTAACAAATGTCTCAGAACTGCCTGAGAGTCTCAATACCACGTCAGTTATTACACAGAAGGACTCTTGCTACTTGCAACAAGTGTGAGAGTTCATCTAATTAACTGATTTCAGTTCATTTGGCATTAAATAATTCCCAGACGTCCCATATGTTTGTCCGTATGTTCTACAAGGGGAAGGATTCTCTAGAAGCCGTTAAAGAGCCCCTTTCAGCCCAGCTGGCCACTGGGCGGTCACTCATCCCCGCGCTTGCTCTCTCCGTGAGCTGGGCAGTCAGCAGTCACGCCGAGCGCCCTGGCAGCCTGTCCGTGGCTGTGACCAGAGCCTACGCTATTTCAGCGACTCTGGTTTTTAAAAATTTTTTTTAATTTTCTTTTTAATGAGGTGGGGGCTCTTTTAATGAGGAGAGCACTTGGTAGACTACAATCATAGTCTCCCGGTTGTCTTTCACGTCAACTTTCCTAGGCTGCTACCAGGACTTTCCTACCACTATTGACGTTACTTCTTTTTGTATCTTGTATATTTGTGTTTTGTTTCGTTCTCGATGTTTGAAAACTTTGAGCTGTTTCTGATGGGAATCATCACCAGAACCATAACTACAAGCTAAGGGTGTTTTGCTGAAAACAAAATAACCTGTATTTTGCTCTCATTATTGAAGATGAATTGTCAGGCTTTGTACTGGAGGTAACTAGCAAAATCCCACCATCACTGCCTTCCCACCCCCCCACATCTTACGCATTTGCCAGCAGCAGCCGCTTGGCAAAGGATGCGTGTGCTGGGAGAGAGATAGGATAGAAAGGCGCCAGCCAAGTTAAATAACTAAGGTTTGACTCGCTCTCTGGAAATACGCTTTTGTAACCCCTTTCCTGCAGCTGCATCAACACAGAGATAAGGCAGTAGAACGCACCAGCCTTTCCCGAGCTATGGCAGAGAGGAATCATATAAACTGAATAACTTACTGAAAAATAAATATGTATTAAAGTAGGCTTGAGAGAGTCTTAATAATGCTGAGACATTTTTCTTTGTATTTTTAAGCAAATGGACAATTTCTTAAACCATCTGGAAAGAGAGGTCATTTTTTAATCTTTAAGGGAATCAAATAACCATTTGTAAAGGGTAGCAGTGGTTGGTGTTAAGTGATGGTCTTCAGTACAAAATCAGTATTTTCCTAGCAATGATGAAGGAGTTCTGAAAATTGTTATTCATAGGCATAAACAAGTAGCTTTTTGCTTGAACTGCTTGCTTAGAATGGTTGTCCTGATACCAGTTCAACAAAACGCACAATCTTATGTGTCTCGGAACACGGTAAGACCACTGCCGGTGCTGAGGTGCTTTGCTGCAGCGAGGCCCTCAAGCCCTGTCTGCTTTGTGCTCTTTAACTCTGCCCTCCCGCTCTTGCACACTCACTCTTCAAGAGGAACATGGCAGTTACGGTAGAGGCTGTGTTTGTACTTTGATTTTTTTAGCCTAAGAATCCTACAAACACTTAGAAGCACTGAGGTTTAGGGAGCATTTATTATTATGACACTTGAAAAAGAAAAAGCCGAACTGGCCTTTTGTGTTAGCATGTTATGTCTGTCTGTTTTTTTTTTTTTTTTTTTAGCTCCAGCCTTTATCTCACAGATACTTGTACATGTAGTCTTTAGTAAGGGATGTCACTGATGTTGTTGGAAGTTTTCAAGTCTTTAGCAAGAATGGTATTTTTAACCGTGTTTTCAGAGCACCTGCTATTACAGTTATACTGAGAATGTGACCCACCGGTGATGTTAGATGGATGGGCAACTTCAGTTTTCAGGACTGGAATCCCATTTATTTAAGTGCAGGGCTACGCATAAGTGTGCCTACATGAAAGCTACAGGCACTGAAATGTGTTATCCAAGTTGGCTTGGGTAACTTGGAATTTAACGGCATAGCCATTAAGCATTGGGCAGTATGGGAAGGTTTGGTTGTTGCCGTGCTGGCTGTTACAAAGCTCTAAGGGCAATGCTGCTGTTAGCTTGTGACATGGCAGTGCAAATATATCTTAATTTTTAAGAAGGGATTTTCACCTTATTATCTTCGTTTTGTTATTGTACCCAACCTATTTCAATTGTTAGCTTTAATGTGCAAGAAGTGAGTCTTACCCGCTTTGCCACTGGCTCTGCACAGGTGTTTATTACAAGAGGTAAAGGAAGCATATTTATGTGGGACAGGGTTAAATTTAGGTTTGAATGAAACAGAAGAAGATTCCTGTCAGATACTTCATCTTTATAATTTAGCAAGCAGTTAGCGTAACCATAGGGGACTACATTGAGATTAGATGAATCCCTAGACTTCAGTTGAGCTGACGGGATCTCCACTGGCTGTAATGGAGCCCACGTGCACATACCAACTTTGCAGAGTTCTAATTTTGAGCAAAGAAGTTCTGTCCCTGATGTCTGCTATAAGTTACCTAGCTTGTTCGTTCTGCAGAATATAAATGTGTTTTCAAACCAGGGAGATCATCCCTGATGTGGAAAAATTTATGAGACTTTTTAAACCATAACTTGTTTTGTCTTCACTACTGTGAAAATATTCTTGATGACAGTCTTTGAAGGCAGAATTAGATGGTAAAACTAACAGCTGGTACATAAAGCAAGGCTTACTTGCATAGACTAATTTTAGTGTTGTATTTGGTTTAGGCAAATTTGAAAAGTACTTTAAAGACCAGAATCCTAAACTGACCATCCAATGATTTGAGTAGATGTGGCCTATTAGTTTCGTTTCATCTCCAGCTACTGCTTCTACATGAAAATTAGCACAGTAATTGGCTTGCTTATCTATTGCTGTAACAGATGAGTGAGGTACTTAGATTTTAACTAGATTTTTTTAAAATCTGCAGTTAAAGTAAATTTTTACTCCTTACTGAAAAGAGCCTGACAGTTGTTACTATCTTTTCTCCCCCCACGCAAAGCCTACAGCCAGAAGGCACAGATGTTCTCCTAGGACCAGAAGTAACTTGTGGGCCCTCAGATTTGTCTGTCAGTACTCCGTTTGCCTTGACGATACCACACTGTGCAGAAGTAAATTCAGAGCACTGGAATATTCACTTGAAAAAAAGGACACAGCAAGGAAAATGGGAGGTAAGTTTAAAGTTCTGCTCCCACTTAAAAGGCTTTAGTAACGATGGAAATGTGATTCCTCTTATTCATGCAGGTACAGGTCAAAGATTATGTAAGTGATAGAAACAGTCATTCTACAGAAACAACTTTTAAAAAAAAGTTTTTGCATTTTGTTAGGAAGCAGCTAAACTATTTTCAACTATTTTAGCAAGACGTGCAAAAAAGGGCCAACTTTATGATCTAGGCCATGTAACATAAGTATTCATTTTCTCAGATCACTTAATAATGGGGTCATTGGCTGTTGATTTTTAAAAACATTGTTTCGATAGATCATAGCTACCAAAGAGACTCGTGTCAGAACAGATCTCTGTCATGAATTTATCATGACATAAACAAAGTTAAGGAACTGTTTAAAAATACACACTTCAAGTTCTTTTTTTTTTTTTTTTTTTCCCAACCTAGAAGGATCCTTCTGATTTAAAGTCTCTTTGGACATGTCATTTTAATGGGTATTCAGTGATCACACTGTGCTTATAACCTCTGAAGGATTAGTGTACATTAAATGAAATATTTTGCTTTTTTAGTTCAGAGTGTATTTTCTAAACCTGATTTACCAGGGAAATAAAGCTTTGTGAATTCATGACACGGGCATTTGGTCATCTGTGTCTGTCCACCTGCACTTTTTAAGCCCACTGGCCATGTTCTACTGAAACTGCTTGGTAGGCAGCAGTCTCAAACATATCAAACTTTCTGCATCATTTGGGGAGACAGCCTACTAATACTCCTGAAGGGATGGCTAAAACATGAACTGAACTGTTACCCAGCATTACTGAAACCCACACAGGACAGAAAGGTTCTGAATTTCCCCACTATAAATTGTTCACCGTACATGTTATTAGAACCACTGAACCCGGTAACTAGACACAAATCCATAGTCAATCGTGTTTTATTGCAATGCTGCTGCTGGAACTATTTGGTTCATTGCATTGTGATGGGGGAAAAAAAGCAGTAGTTAAAACATTCATGGATGCCATAACTCACTCTATCCTTTTCCGCCTCCAAACCTTATACGATGTTGTTTGTTGCTCTCATTTAAACCGTTGCAAGCTCAGCTTAGTTTTCCTACTTCAGATGCAGTCAATACTCGGTCAGCTCCATCAGCGTTGGGTACAAACACCCTGGAATTAATGAGGACTCTAACATCAGATGCTAGACTGCCCAAATACCTCATCTAATGATGCTGTAATGCAGAACTAAGCATGAAAGGCAAAAGAGTGCGATAGGTAGTTTTTTGATGAAGGTAAACATAACTATAATGGATGTTCTGAAAGGAAGTCAAATACCAGCTATTGTTCAAGGTTTGCTTATTGACGTTAATCTTCAAGGTAATTTCTTAACTTGACATTGGGGAAAAAAAATCAGCTAGGAAGTCAAGAGCACTTGAACAAAGATGCTAAAACTGCTTACGCATCATCATTATTATTATATGCTGTACACATTGAATTCTGCACAATATATTGCCATAAATCCTACTGCTGACTTAGGGCTAAATGGGGAGTATTTACTCATATAGGTAGTCTACCTGCTCCCCTTCCCTGAGGTCAGCATGAGTAAAGTGTGCAGACTGGCTCTCAGAAATACTGTACGTTCCAGTTGACTAAAAATAAACAAATAATGTCATGACTCCTATTGTCCTGAATTTCATTTTGCAGGAAGTGATGTCTGTGGAAGAGGAAACTACTACTTGCTACTGCCTGTTGGATCCTTATGCCTGTCACATTCTCTTAAACAGCTTTGGAACTTATGCTCTTATTGGAGAACCGATCTCTGACTGTGCCGTTCGACAGCTGAAAGTAGCGGTTTTTGGCTGCCTGTCTTGCAATTCTCTGGATTACAATCTGAGAGTATATTGTATGGATAACACACCTTGTGCATTTCAGGTAAGTGGTTTCCCTTCATTAATTTGCTTCCAGTTATTTTTCCATAGGATGCTAACCTTCTTTATTCCTGGGGATAGTCCCTGTGCAACAGCAATAGTCCAGAACTCAAATGAATGAGAATACTGTTGGGTTTTTTTATGCCACTGCTGCATGACTTAGAATTAAGTCCCTTAATTTCTCTGCACTGTTGTTTCACTTCTGGATTTACACTGCAAGAGCTTTAGGGCAGCCAAACTGTCTTTTCATTTTTTGCCAGGCAGATTGAAACCCACTCTGCCCACACTCTGGACTAACCAAAAATAATGTAGCCATGGTTTGCACAGCACAAAGCTACAGCTGATAAGCAAGGAGCATTAGGCTGGGCTCAGTGCCTTGGCTATTGCATGGGCACAGGCAGAGCTTGCTTGCATCTGGAGCCGAGTACTACTCCACTACAAGCAGAAAATGTAAGTCATTATCATCTGATGTATAGTATTTATTACGCTCATTACCCTTAACGCTGTCATTAGTCAGTTCAGTATTTCCTCTCCTTTTTACAATTTGAGCAAGAAGAAGGAGATTGCCTCACCATCTTTTTAAACAAAAAATAAATTATAATCATGTATTTCCCCTTTAAAAAAGAAAAACCAAGACCACAAAGCAATCCTCAGTGACGATTAAAATTAGCATGATTTTTCTACATGGTATTCCAAGCCAAAACAATGACATTCACTGGCTTTTGCAGCCTTAGTAACCTCAGAAGGTTTAACAAAATGGTTTTCTTTTGGGAACTGAAATGAAGATAGTTGTGACAGATGAATTTTTGCTTCCTTTTGCTATCATACAGAATAGAAACATGTATCTTAATGAAGCACACACTAATGTCTATCTGCTGCTAATAAAAGCAAAGCCCCTGAAAGGCTTGTTACGGACTTGCAATAGCTTTGTAATTATACCCTTTATAACCCACAATTCGTGGGCTACCAGTATTTTCCTGGACGAGTCTGCGTGAAATTCAGAGGCCCAAGTTCCTTCTTAGGCATTTATGAACATGTACAAGTAGCTTTGAGTCATACGTTCATTTAATATAAACCTGTATTGTCTGATGCCTTTAGTGATTGCACTGGTTATGCTCTGCCTGTATGCATTTAGTATTGTGCCGCAGGTTTATAAAAAAATGTACAAAAATCTTTGGAACTTTTAAATATAGAGAAAGAAACTCCCACAAAATTGTGCAACACAACTATGAAAGAGGCTTACGAGGGAAATGAGATTAATCTTATACAGAGCAACCTTTTTTTTTTTCCACATTGCTTCATACAGCATGATGCAGTCTCTATCAGCGCCTTCACTCGTGCTGAATTTTACCTTCATTATATTAAAATTAAAAAACCCACAAAAACCCTCACCCATAGCAGCCTGATTTGACTGTACCATCTTGTTTTTCAAATTATTGTGACATTTAGCAAAATAATGAAGGAAACTGGCTTATTTTTCTCTTAATGCACATTAAAACAAGTAGGATTTCAAAGTTACTTGTTGCTTTTCAGTAGAAAATGTTTAGAAGAATAATTACCAGTTTTCTGCATTCACAGACATTAGAACAGGGTGTTTGTACATAACGAGATAACTGTATATTTATGAAATTATACTTCCCTTAAAAGCGTGCTGATTCAGCTTCACACTAGTATAAATATTAAGTGGTGTACATAGAAAATAAAGAAGTATTTTTTTTTATAAAGTATCGGAGCTGGGCTTACCAAGTTTTGTTCGACACTGTTAATCCTTTACAGTGCAGTCCCGTATGAGATACAAAGTTCCTTTATTTTTCACTTTGTCCCCATGTGAAAACTTACCTTAATTTTCTAACAAATGATTTTGCCCTTCGTGCAATTCCTAGTGTCTTGGGAAACCCTCAAGAGAGGGTTTTTTTTCCTCTCAAAAGAGAAAATAACCAACCAAGTCCTTTGTATTTTGCCATAGTCCTGCTGATGCTTGTGGAATTAAGGACCATATGCATTATTAAAGGTAGAGCAGTGTTTATACAACTATGGTACATTTGTAAAAAATTCCAACACATTCAGGGAATTTTGAAAATAGTTATGAAATAAGCTACTCCCTTTGCAGTTGAAAATCAAAACCTAAAGTCACCCTTCTTATTCCTTGTTTCCAGGGATGGGGAGCTAAAACACCCAGCCTTCAGGAGTTAAAACAAACTGAATGCCTGTAAATTGGTTTATAATAGAAATCCATTGTTGTAGTTTCAGAAAGCTCTAGCAGTTGTTGTATTTTCAGAAGGTCACAATGATTCCAGTAGCTTTGCTACTGACAAGCACTATATATAATTTACGTGGATAAAAAAGGTAATTTTGAGAGACTGCTTGGTAGTTGGTTTTTAAAGACGTCTCCAAGATTTCTTTTCTCACTAGTATTTTCACTGTAACAGTACAGGAATAAACATTGCGTTAAGTACAGGCAGGGGAGACTTGTTTACTATTATGTTTTAAATTCACAGAATTATATAAAAATTTAGGTTGGAACAGACCTCTAGAGGGCTGTAGTGCAAATTCCTGCTCAAAGTCAGCCCTTCCAAGATTGCTCAGGGTCTTGTCCAGCAATTCTGAAAATGTCCAAGAGAGAAGAAATGAAACGGAAGCATTTTGGTAATGTGTACACTTGGTGTGTTTCTTTCAGTGCTCTTTAAAGTCTGGAGAGTACTTTCTCACCAAAACTGCTGTCGATCTAATCTGTAACCAAGCAGACTATTTGCCGAGCATGCCTTATGCTGTCTATCTTCCTTTTAGTCTGCTGAGTAAATACTCACGGAGCTTTGTATGTCAAGTGTTTAAGGAATACTAGACACAACCTGTAGGAGTTTTTTATTCAAAAGCTTAATTAAAATACCAAGGATAGTTGTGTTATTCCAGAACAGAAGAGGGACTAAGTTGCAATGTCACCACTGTTTAAACAGTTTCCATTTTCCTCTTTGGAGGGAAATAGCTTTACCTGGAAATGGGCTGCCATAGGTCTTGCTTCCCTCTTCATGCTGATGCTAGAGAGCACTCTGGGTCATGAACTGCTGGTAATCGTCTCCTTTGTAATAGTGATCCTGTGGGATGCAATAACATAGTAACAATCAGACATGAGTGACTTTCAGTAAAAAAGAAAACTGGCTGGCTTTGATTTCAAACCCCAGAATGTGAAGACAGCCACTACTGGTCTTTCCTTCTCAAGGACTGCGCTCCTAGTCAGAAGTTATGTGGGATCGAATTTTCTTGTTGGCTACCTGGGTATCAATGTCAAAACTACCATCGTTATGCACACAAAAATAGAACTGAGATGCCTGACGAGCCTTTTAACTCCAATGGTGAAACACAAATGCCAATGACCATCGTCTGGCCCATGAGAGAAATACTCCACTGCTAGATTTGGTATTTGTTCTTAATACTGAAAAAATTCTTTCCTTCTTCTGCTGTTGCAGGAAGTGGTTTCGGATGAAAGACTCCAAGGAGGACAATTACTGGAGGAACCAAAACTTTTGCATTTCAAAGGGAATACCTTCAGTCTTCAGATATCTGTCCTTGATATCCCTCCTTTCCTTTGGAGAATTAAACCATTTACTGCATGCCAGGTACTTACCAATTTTATCTGTTTACATGTGAATTCAGAGGACGTAAGGATTTTCACTGGCATGGGCATAACCCAAATGAGACAGCGGTCCCTTTTGTTTTTCAAAGGTGTCATTTCAATCTCTTGAGTATGCAACAAAAATGCATTGCCCTATGATTTGGCAAACACAGATTTCATATATAACAGAATGCTTTAAATTTTTAATTTTTCAAAAATGCAAGCTTGTACTTTTCCTCATTTCAATTACCTCCAATGGAAGGCCTATATTCTTGTTAAAATTTATCACTCATGAAGATGTTTTTCATATCTTTGTCATTCCAATTTCGATATAACTATGAATATATGGCTAAAAATGACATTTAAATGCTTACATTTAAATGTCATCAATTCAAATTACAGCACATATCATATACTAAGAATTAAAACCAAGGAAGAGCAAATTATTTTTTCTGAACTACATTAATTAAAGAAGCTGTTGAAGACAGGGAAGCAAAAATCAAAACAAAGTAATTTCTAAGTATATTGGTTACTGGAAATCATAAGCAATGTGCTGGCACATAGAGTGGGATGGTCTTTTTAAAATACAAAACTTAATTAGACTATATAATCTCTCTTTTCCCAGAAGCATATAGAGAGACAGTTACCTATCATTCAGTATTTTGGAAAAAAACCCCCACAACTTTAAATGTATTGCCACATTCTCCAAAACATGGAACATGGGCTCTGAAACTTATAAACCCTGATCTATATCCAGATAAATTCTTACATTCTTAAGAAAATAAGGATAATTTCTGCTACAAGAACTTGAAAGAAACCACATAATTTTCAGCTTCATATGAAGAACTGCGTGTTTTTAAGTATTTTCTTTATTCCACTCACTTAATTGCATTTAAAAGACAAACTGATCAGTATTAGGATGTCCCACTACTATATCAAATACCTGTCAAAACTAGTACCTTCCCGAGCGCAAAAAAAAAAATCATGGGAGTTTTCTCTTAATACAACAAACGGAGTTTTGCCTCACACCATATTATAAGCACAGCTCCATACTTTGATTAATTTATTGTCTCTTGGCCCCTTGTACAATCCTGGAGAACAAATCTGCATGATAGACCTCAAAGCACCGTTTAGAAAGAGTCTGTTTTCTGAAAAATGCTCTCTAATAGCTGTTCGATAGATTTGACCTAAATATATGTAGCGTTATCTTATGTCGATCTCTTCTGACTGCTTTAGAAGACAGACAAAGCACCTTTCACCGGCCAATCTTGCAGAATGTGCATTAGTTAAATGGCCAGCATACAAGAGAAAAAAATCAGGAAAGTTTTAATTAAACTTGTCTCACCTTGGTGACTACTTCAAAAACACCACATTACTTTGGTGAATCCCTAGACTTTTCTTGCAGCCAAGCAACTTCATTAAGTAGCTTTAGAGACGAACACTTTCACTCCCCTATATTGGACACAGTAGAAATTACTGCTCGTATTGTTTGCTGAGACTCTTGCAGAAAAGCATTGCAACTACATAAGGAGGAACAGACACTGAGAACGCAAGTAACACTGTGGTATGATAAATTAGAAAAATGGCCTGCAGAAAAGAATACTTCCTGTGCTGTCTGCAAACAACTTTGCTGATAGGAAGAGGTTTTGCTACTCTAGCTTCCATGTTTCTTTGCAGGAGGATTATTTCTGCCTGGTAATTTCTGCAAAGTTGTTGTTTCTTTGGGGCATTACCTCCTTTGCGTGCACCAGGGACTCCCACCCAGCAAAGTTCTGAGAGTGACTTAAGGCCTCGAAATACTTCGTGTGTGGTTCAGCATTTTTCTTAATCCTGTGTACAAATTCTATGAATAAATATATTGCTTATGGTATATTAAACTCAGGTGTTTTTGTTCTCGGTTGGCAAGTAATAGTCCAGAGTTTCCAGTCAAAACTGACCTGCAGGGCACTGTTAAAACAAGACACGATAGCCAGTGCAAATTTCTCTGTATTAATCTTCATGCGTTGCAAGGACCTCACTTTGCAGAATCTAATGTAAGCGGCACATGTAATGGCACATCTAATGTAAGTTCAAAGCAGCTATTAAATTTATTGCTGCAAGATAAGATAAAAACAAAAAGTGGGATGAGGGAGCCATAACCCACAGAAGAATGCTTAAGTGCTGTGCTTGCTTTACGGCAGGCACAGGATGGCACCCCTGCCGAAGATTTATCATAGCAGGCACATTACCCATTCCCTCAGCAGCCGCTCAGGAGTAAAAAGCATCATGTGCATAACCTCTAACAGAATGGTCTGACAGTGCTGATACTGAAGCCAAATAAATATTTACTTTTATAATTGAGTATAGTTTGGATAACTTGGAGAGATGAGAAATATAATAATTGTTTCTAACAGAAACTGCAGAACAACTTACACTGGCTTTGTATTTCCCTCTCAGTGAAATGTCCCAACTCTGTTGGCAGCTCTGATTTGGTTCCAGCCTCTTTTATACGTAAAAGAATCTGTTTCTTCATGTGGAGTTTCTTCCAGTGTTTACTTATTTTCTCTTCCTATGTACCACACTTTATAAACAAGCTGGCTGTTCTGGTTGTCCAGAACAACTGAAGAGACTCTATTCCATAATTGTCTATTTGGTCCACCAAATGAAACCATTATCAGATAGTACAATGAGAAATGATTTACATTAATCATTTCTCAGATAAGTAAAGATCCTGCTTCAAGGTTTGAGCAGATGAATAAATCATTGTGTAACACCGTGGCATAAAAGCAGTGGATGGCAGGTGCTAGTCAGAATTTCTCTAAATGCATTTGTTTGTCCCCGCCATCCTGCAGGAGCAGATGCTGAGTGCTTGGCATCCTTCCCACCACTTTCACAAGTAACTAGGAGGAACCCTTAAAAACTGGTTGGGTGTTGGAGCAGGAAGAGGCTGTGACAAGCATGTTAAGAAGCCAGACAGGCAACTTTGGGGGTTAAAAGCAGCTGTCTGCCTAGCATCTTGTGTCTCTTGGAGGATCTAGTGTCTGTAGCTATGGGATGATTTACATTCCCTCTGTTTGCTGGGAACTTAATTATAAAGGGAGAATAACACTGAAAGCATTTCTGGAATACTTTAAACACTCATTGCTTCACCATGCTTTGCCCCCCTGTATTATGTTTCATATAATTCTTTTCAGCAGAGTGATTCTTCCACTCTGAATGAAAGCAGAGATGATTACTCTGGAAAAATCTAATTACAGTTGCTGCACTTCTAATATTTTGCTAATGTTTTCTTTATCGCTGTTGGTACCTTGTTACTGCTACCAACTCTGGATCTAAACGCAGAGCTTATCATTATCATTTAGTGCATCATTACAGGTAGCCTGAGACACTCTTAAGAAGCAGTAAACTGCATTATCAGCTATGAGTATAATGATATTCTCCTTAGTTTAGACTTGACTGTACTTTAAAGTATAGGTTGAGGCTGATATTTGAAGCTGTATATTCTCAGATTACCAGTGCATGGCTAATTTCTTCAGGGACATAGAAAAGATCGCAACCGAAGCCCAATAAAAATTGCTTCTAGGAAGATGAGAATGAAGAAATGCATGTTCTCTGAGCTGAAGGCTCTTAGGTGAGCTGCCATATATAAACTTGAGTTTATATATATAAAAGAGTTAAGTGCATGGTTTACTTTATGACAAGTGACTAGTTGGTAGGTCAATCAGTTGTAACTATATCAGTACTAAATACTGAAGGAATTATAGCTGCTTACAGGCGGCACGTTTTATGTCCTTGTCTGTGTCACTTATTAACCCTTTATAAAGCTCTGTAAAATGCAAGCAGAATGCATGACGGGTTAAATTTCCATATAGTAATTATTGTATTTTCTTTGAAGGATAGGCTTCACATACCATTTAAATCAATTGTAACATTTAAAAATAGTGCGTGAAAAAGGGACAGAGTAATCTGAAAACTCATAATACTCCTCTAGAAAAATTATTGTAAAAATCTTTAAACTAGTTTTCTTGTGTTAGAGTAATTGCTCATTGAAGCTATTTAATGCTATCCCATAATCATATGGGTGAATGCTAAAATATAACAGAATGAAATATTAGTATCAGTCTTTTTTTTCCCTTTTACATTATTCTCCAGGTTGCCAATTCTACAGTATTTTCCAATACTTTGAAATTAATAGAGAACATGCTTGGTTTAATTGTTTTTACCATGTACATGCCTTCATGGCTACAATGTAGAAGACCATAGCGGGTTTATAGCTGATGTTAGCTTGTAAAGAAATTTAAAAAAAAAAAAAAAAAAAAAAAAAGTGTTCTGAAAGTGTACAGAGGAGACCAATAAGAGAACTTTGGTATTTACAAAGTAGTCGTAAAACAGAAGTTAGCTGCCCCTATGTACTTCTCCTGTCTATTTCCATACATTTTTAGGAACTCAAAGCAACCAGAGATGCTAGAAATCGCTGATGATTAATTGCTGCAGTTGTCTATATAGCATTTGATGAGGGCATTCATCCCATAAGCTGTCTCTGGCTGAAGCAGAGGAGTCACTGAAAGTAGTCACAGACTATAACAGGATGAAACGTAAGAAGTAAAACTGAGACTCACCAGTGATGTGCAGTGGGCTGCACGTGACTACCCAGGCAAGTGGGTGCTTTTAAGTTCGGATGGAACATAATACAGAAGATCTGCTGTCATGCTCTATGCTGCATTAACTTACAGAGGAAGTACAGTTCTTGATGGGAAATTCCTTTTTTTGGATTCTGCAGTACAAGGTGATGGCAAGGAGACACAGAGTAGAGTAAGAGTTCTGATCCCTGCCTGGGAGGAGTAAGTGAAGTGCATCTAAGTTTCATTTTACATGAGAGTCTCTCATCATTTGTGTCACTGAATGAAACCTAAACTTTCAGTAAATGTAACATCTTTGTATTTATCAATTGAATTGTCATTTATTAGTTTTGTCCTACCTTGAGTTTGCAGGGATGCTAGTAAAAACACAACTGCAGAGAAAAATAATGGATTTTTTTCCTATCTTGTGATTGTCACCACTGTGTCTCTCACGTCGGCTCCCCCATTCTTGTGGGGTACATTTCTCTCTCAGGAAGTCCCATTCTCTCGCGTGTGGTGCAGTAGGCAGAAGCCGCTGCACTGTGCCTTTTCACTGGAGCGTTACACTCCCGCAACCACACAGCTGTCCTGCAAGATCTGCGTCCGACAAGTCAAGGGTCACGAGCAAATCCTACAGATCCAGACATCCATTGTAGAGGTAAAGTGTTCTCTCTCCTTTTTATTTTGTGTAGTATGACACATGATTCTCTCCCTCCCCCATTTTTGTCCTTTCTAGCTCTGTGTAGTTCCTCATGCCCTGCTCAAAACCGTCACAAATACAGAAAGCCTCACAGGTTCCAGCAGAAATCAAAGTATACAGATTCCACAACACTAAAAATAATTTATAGTTCAGTTGGTGGTAATAGTTTTCTTGCAGAAAGTTTCTGAATAGCTTGCAGAGCATTAAGAGCTGAAAATAGATGGATTGCCTGTATGCTGTTAGGCCACTGACTACGCTCTTCTTAGAGCGCGTTTGTATACACAGACTCTCTTGCAATGACTGTAGCTTTGCTTTCACAGGTGAAAGAAACCAAACTTGTAGTCAAGCAAGCAGGTATGTGTCCTACAGCAAAGAAAACTTGAGCTGCTTTTGTTAGATTACTGAGCATCTTTGTTGATCATTCCAAAAACTTCTGCATTAAAGATATATACCCATTGCTCAACGCACTATGCAGAGAATGCAGCAACTAAATAAGAAAACCACAAACATCAATCTGTAGAAAAAGATCCTCAGAATATGGCCAAGCATATTTTTCCAGTTCTTTATTGTTATTTCATAAAAAGTTTCTGTCATTCTCTATGTATCTCAATACAATGTTGCTGCTGTCTTTTTTTCCCCTGTTTTAATATTTTATTTATTCTTCAAAGGAACCTATCTGTCCACAAGTCCCCAGAGCATGTTACAGTGCTGTCTTCAAATGGATTGGCTAGTATGGAAGGCTTTCTCATGCCTATCTCAAAAAGTGATTGAAGAGTAAGGATAATTTGACTGTGAAATAAATATATAAATAACAACTGAATACTTGAATTGCTCATTGCTTTACAATTCCCTGAACTAACCAGGTAGCAGCAGCTTATCTCACATGTGCAGGGTATGGAAATCTACTATTGTTCTGCATATTTAATGTAAACAGTCAGACCATGCAATATATCTGCAGCACTGCTATTACTTTGCATGGATGAATTTTGGGATGTGTCATAAATGTTATATGAAGAGACTATAGCATCATTGTTATTTAATATTTATGCTGCATTGCACTGAAACGAATAATGCATGGAAATGTGACTCCATTACACCAGACTGGTATAATTCCATAGGAAAAGAATGATCCAGATCTATAAAAGGACCTGGATTCCAATAAAATTTTTAATATGGAAGAACTGAGGTACTTGTAGAATTTAGGGTCCATATCTTAGGCTTAAGCAATTAAAGATTTAGAAATCCATATGTTTTTGTGGCATTCCATCTACCAATCACTGCTCTATTGGACTTCATCTGTAACACAAAAATAAACCAGAGGAGGAAACTTGTAGAAGGAAAATTACACTATTTAAAATGTTTTTATACATAGGTGTTTGTGATGTTCTAGAAGTTCCCTCATAAATCAGAAATATACCTTTTAGCTATTTAATTTTCTGTTGTCAATTCTACAAACTATAGCTGCCATCTCAGGCTCAGGTTTGATTCTTTCTTCCTCCAAAAGCAGAGTTGGTAACACCAATAGGTATACATAGATAGGCTCACTAAGGGTAGATCCCTGCATAATAAGGCAGCAAAAAGAGTACAGAAGTGTCTGCACGTGCAGCTATTCTCATTCTGTGACGAGGCTGCGCAGAAATCTTGTCCCTGTTCCCCACTTCCAAAGAGCAGTGTATGGTGGGACTCTTGGCGCTACCTGTTGCTGTGCTGAAGACAGCCACCTACAGACCCAAGGTGGACAGAAAGCCTGATGCCCTAACTGCTTTCTTTTTATATTCCGTGTAGAATGAAAGAGAAACCATCACTTTCTTTGCACATGATGACAGCAACTTCCCTGCACAGATGGGTCCAAAAGCATTCAAAATCCCCTACTCTATTAGACAACGAATCTGTGCAACATTTGACACACCCAATGCCAAAGGCAAAGACTGGCAGATGTTAGCACAAAAAACCAGCATTAACAGGTAATGGAAGGCAATTTTGAAAGGTGAACATTTACATATGCAATGGGAATATTTGTTTGTTTGCTAGTATTAAAGATGTGTGCATAGTAATTAACATACTTACTCTCAAGGATAAGCTGTAGTTCATACATTATTTCATATACGACTAGCTGCTGAAAACAGGAACTGCTTTCTCCTCTGAATAAACCTGTGCGCCCTGTCCTACCCGATGTCTGCTTCTAAGGTTAGTTTCTTTGCTCTGGACTGGACCTTTTCTTTGTATGCCTACAAGAGTGTGGTCTTGGTAAAGCACAAGGCTGTAGAAAGATTTTGGCACTGTTGTGTAGTATGACAGCAGTGGTTTAAAGGACTTAGGAGGTTGCATGTTCTCTCAAAAAAATCATATGGCCTGTTGCCTTGGCTTCCACCTATGTATTTTGTATTCTAAAATGCACTACACATTTTGCAGATTTTTTTTTTTAAAGGAAAAGGCATATTTTAAAAAGTCAGTCATGCTCTTCTGTTATGAGTAATAATATTATGATTATTAAAAATGAGAGATGTTGTGAAAACTAAATCTACTACTTATCTTGCTTTTTCTGCTTGGCTAAATTAAATTGGTTGAGGCAGTTCACTCACAGAAATATTTTCTGATTGTCAAAAACACCATAAGTATGTTCCCAAGAGGGTAGAGGAATACTTGTATCAAGCAAAGTAAGTTTTCATTGACTTGTTGCTTTGCATGGAAATCTCAATAAACCACATCTGAACCAAAGAACAAAGTAATTTATAGTCTTGCAGCAGTAAGAGTCAGAAAATTCTGCTTTACTTATCAGCGTTTACTACCTGTTATCTGTAATCTCCCCTGGTTTCCATTCCTCATGCATAGAGGGAGCTAGAGGAGATTTTCTGCTTTGTTGGGAGCATACTAAGGAGATTACACTGACTTGTGTAAGACCAAGTTTGTGATAGCCCTTTAACTTTTGATTCTGTGTTGGAGACACCAGAGAGGGTCTTTGCAAAATCTACTTCTATAAAATCAATTTCATAAATAGAAAAAGGAAGTTGTTGAGCCGTTTAAACAACCCAAAATGCAGTTCTAAAACCAGACGGTAGAGCATAAATATGTGACTTCATAGATTTCCGCATATCTGCTGTACAGCATAATCCATTAGTGTTGTCATACTATTTCCCCCATCTATTTCAAAATATGCCATAGTAGTAGTTCTGTTGAAGTCAAGGTATTACTTGACAAAAGCCTGGCTTTAGTTCCTCAGTTTAGACAGTAATCTGTTCTTTCAATGTGCCAAAACTGTTCATATCGTTGCTACAAGGAACTTTGTCAAAGCTGGAATTGTACTACACGTACACAGAGGCACAAACTGTTCGCTGTATATTAACTTCGACTGCCAACAGAGATGAATGTACAGAGGAAAGATTAGTGAAGCTGAGGGGAAAAAATGGTGTCTGCCTGTTTTTTACTGATGGGGAACAGTCCAAAAATGGTCAGTAGCAAATATTTAGTTATCTTGGAGTTGGTTTAACAAAACCAAACAATAGCTTTAAAGTCCAAGTTTCCTCTTCTGTGCTATAGGTTTATTTGTTTCTTCTTGTATTTATAGGTATGTATCTGTATGTCATACAAATGCTATAAATAACTTCCATGCTTCTGAATGTGAAAGTAATGTATTTATTTGGATGATTATGTCCAAAGCCCATAAACGGAAGGACTTATAGGGTAATGTGTTTGTTTTACCAAATTCTTTGCAAATACCATGCCTGAAAAGTCCTAAAACCTACATATTAATAAAATACGTGAAGATGGGACACTTTTTAATTTGTAAATTTACAATCACAAGCATCACTTTAACTTATATAATTCCTCTCCCTGACAAATACTCAATGAGTTTACTAATGATGCTTTCCAGAACTTATTTTTTTCCAAAACTATACAGGATGGTCCTGCTGGCCAGCATTTACATACCTCGGAATATACAACTTCCGTGTTTGTTCTACCTCTGCTAAACTGAGCAAGTGACATTTGAAGAATAAATGCACCAGCGTCTTGAGGGTTCCCTCCACTTACCTCACCTAGGTCTTGCTGAAGGATTTTTGTTTTTCAAAAACATCTATAGTGCTAGGCACAACAGAGGGCACTTTCACATTTGTGGTAGCTACAGTACATACTGTTCCTCCTCCTTTTTATTTCACCTTTTTCTCCTCTCCTTTTAGGAATCTCTCCTATTTTGCTACTCAAAGCAGTCCATCTGCTGTCATTCTGGACCTCTGGGAAGCCCGACATCAACATGACGGAGACCTTGACTCCCTAGCCTGTGCCCTGGAAGAAATAGGAAGGACACACTCCAAAATCTCAGACATAACAGAAACTGAGATTGAAGAGCCTGACTTCAACTACAGCAGACAAAATGGACTTTAGTCACTTTTTTCCATTCAAGAACTGATGGCCAGCTTTGACTATTACACTAGGGAATCTTTTTGGCAGGGAGGAAAAAAGGGTTTCTGCACACTGTGTGTATGGAAACAGACACTCGTTTTCCACAAAGCAGTTTTCAGTTGGAGGAGCAGAAGAAACCCTATTTAGAAATCATCGCAGTAGTAAGGAAAACACAGGCTTCTCCCTGTCTTCGCTCATTTAAAATTCATGTTTTAATGTCAAAACCAAAATTACACATCTATCATTCCTGGGGCAGGAAGGAGTGAGATATGGAGCCATAAAAGGTAAATATTACGACATAATGTATTTAGGAGACAGTAATGCTAATATAACGTCTAGTGAAAATCGGCAAATATGACATTGAATATTTAGAGCCACAAGAGGTTAATCATAGTTTAAAAGTTTGTTTTCCTGGGGCCTTGGCTCCCCTTTGTCCTGCATCTCTAACTTACCACACTTAAAGAGTAGGTTTAAAATGTCATTTGATAGCATCACGTTGTCACTTTTTGTATCTGCTACAGAAAAACTGAAAATCTGGCCTTACCCTTTTCAGATGTTTGAGGAATCAGAAGACCCCATAACTATTTAATTGATACCATTTGTATGGTATCAATTAAATAGTTTTATTAAAATTATTTATTTATTAAAACAATTTTTTTAAAAATCAATCAAAATTTCAATCACTTAATGAATGTACGTTTGCTGCAGAGCTTTCCTGTGAACAAAACCCATTCCTATTCTGAGAACAAAACCCTTCTCTGTGATATTAGAGCGTGTGTGACAAATTTTCTAAAGTTCTCTGTTTGCAAACTTTCACTTAGTCAAAAAGTGTTTCTTTGGGGGTGGATTTCAATAACCAAATAAAACGCAGGAAATTGCCAGCCCTATTGTAGCAGGTTTACACATTTTTTTATTACTTCATGTGCTGGGGCTAAACTAGAAAGTAAAGGTGAAGTCAGTCAGCACAGCTTAATTTTGGTTAGTTTCAGATTGAAACAATAAACCCACATGGTACCGCCAAAAATTGGCTTGATTTCATAGTACAATTTGGAAATTTCATAGGATATAAAGCTGACTGTGTTACGCTTGGTTTAGTTACAAACGTACCGCGTTTGCCACCAAAACCTGAATCTAACTAGATAATTCTGCTCATTTTTTACCCATTTCATACAAAAATAATTTATTACTTCAAGTGAACCAAAAAGAGAGCTGTCACTGTGAATGAGTGTCCTAGTGGAACTGGTACTGAGCCAAATGTATCCATTATTTTTACTCATATATTCTTTAAAATTAGCCAAGGTGCCCTTTATAGCTCGGGCCCTAGGCTATCAGTTTTGGTGATAGGAACACAACCAAAAAAAGCAGAAACACAAACAAGAATTTAGGAGCTTTATGGAGACGCAAGAAACTGAAAACAACCATTCTGGGTTTTTTGTACCCCTGTATTTGGCCAAGAGCAGCATGACAGGCCACAGGGTAGGTACTTAGTGTGCAAATCTATAATAATCTGAACCTGTTTCTTTACCCAGGATTCCAGTTCTGGAAAATATGATGAACAACTCGATGTAAGACTTTGCTTGTTCTCACTGATTTGAAATTGCAAATTTCATTGCTTTCCCAGCTCAGCAGGCTGGAATAGTTTTAGACTTCCCCAAACATTTTCTGCACTTTAATATTTCATGCAGCCTGACATGAGAGTTCCTGTTTGCAATGGGAAATTCATAATGGCTGCAAGCATATTTAAGACCGAGACAAAAATAACAGCTTATGTGGCAGCAAGCTGTCACTGTTTTCACCAGCACATGGTTCTATCTGTGTTTGAATTATATTTCTAGTGACTTCCAGTCCTCCTCCTCAGAAACCTGTTCTTCATTGGACAAAATGTCATGAATTTAAAAAAAACAGGGAATGGCATCCACAGAAAAGCAGTAGGGTCTTAGTGAGCTGTCTGTGTCTGGGAAACCAGCTACAGTCACTCTCCAGCAGTTAATTTGTTCTCAGCTTCTCCTCAGATGCAGTTTTAATTTTCAGACTGTCTTAGGTCTTTGTGGTGGTAGCTAACCTAAGTACTACCCTGCAGGTGCTGTAACATATTCATGTCATTCTGAAGAGCCATATCTATTTTCCCCTCTTGTTTTCCAAACATACGTGAGCCACATAGAGCATATGGGGTCAAGAGCTGCTATATGGAGCTCAGACCTTAAAGCTTTTTCTCAGGAAATGCACAGTGTTTACTTTCAAGACTTGGGTAGCTTTCAAAAAACCTCTATGTACAGTAACACCCAACTCTGCCTACTGAATGCTCGGCAAAGCCTAGAGAGAGAGAAACCAGCAGGCGTCGAGACTGACCTCCTCCAAAGTGCACTGAAAGGGCCTTCAGACTGAAGGGATCTGGGTTGTTCGCCAAAATCCACGTTAGAGCCAAAATCCAGTGAAGTCTAGTGTCTGAGTTGAGTTAATGTCTTGAAAAGGAAAAAATGTCAAAGTTTCTTACCGTTCCAGAAAGAAGCCATTCAGTTTTGGGCCTAAGGTAAGATTTTAACTTCACATTGCTCAATAGAGTGTTGTTGTTTCCCTTTAGGTTTTGCTTCCTGGTTTTTCTTCACTTTTGCTAAAGCAGCTTCTTTGTTACTGATCTTACTTTTGTGAATCTGAATCAAGATCTCTGACTTTTTCTAACCTATTACTGCTTTGATGCTCTTGCATTGTTTAAGTGGACTAGAAACTAACTAGTGATAGGATGAGAGGAAATGGCTTCAAGTTATGCCAGGGGAGGTGTAGAGGAAAAATTTCTTCACAGAGAGGGTGGTCAGGCATTGGAACAGGCTGCCCAGGGAGGTGGTGGCGTCACCATCTCTGGAAGTGTTCAAAAACCGTGTGGATGTGGCACTTCAGGACATGGTTTAGGGGACATGGTGGCGCTGGATTAATGGTTGGACTTGATGATCTTGCAGGTCCTTTCCAACCCTAGTGATTCTGTGAAATGCCCCAATACTACTTACTTGCCTTTCTCCCATTGGAGTGGGGTTTGAAACAGTAGCCTATGTTTCTGATGTGAGCTTATCTAGCTGTACAGCCGAGTCTTACAAGAACTGCCATACTACATCAGGTGAAAATCCTTTTAGTCCTGTACGGTACCTCTTATAGTGACCAGGACTGAAAGTTTAGGGAAGCGGTGTAAGAAATGTGCCCTGGACCAAAGGACTTGCTCAACAGGGTGTTGCATCTGGACCACTGTGTCCAAGAATCACTGATACTGTCCTTCAACAACTTGACTAATCCCTTTTGCACCCACTGAAACACTCAGCCTTCATGAACCACATCCAGGAGAAACAAGTACCACAATCTTCTTTTACAGTTCAAAAAACAGCCCTTGCTTTCCAAGCTTTCCTTTTGTTTAATGCATGCTGCCTAACGATTGCACTGGGCTCCCCCAGTTCTCTGTAGGAAGGAATACTGAGTAGCTATTACCAAATCACCTTGTCCATATTACGCATTCCTTTACAGGCTTCTCTCACATGTCACTTCCGCTCACACTCTGGTCTAGGCTGAAAAACCCTAGTTTAATGCTGCTTCTTTGAACATCCTTGCTGTTATTCTCTGTATCATCTCTAGTTCTGTATCTTTTTGGAGATGGAGTGAGCAATAACCTGCTTTTCAACAGGAACACAAGCTAAATCACGCGATTCCTCCATTTCTTGCTGTTCCCACATTCAGTATCAATCACAGAGGATTAAGATCTTGCTATAGCATAAAGCCACCAGAAATGCCTGTGAGAGTGTGCAGAATGCCTGAGAATACAGTTACTGACTCTACTATGCAAATTACTCACGCCAATACATCCTGAACATCCAGAAAATAAAACCTGTGAGGAAAAAAGTGCTAACAAAAAAACTGAGGCGACAGAGAAGATTAAAAAAAAAAAAATCAGAAAAAGGAAAATACTTGTTTGCTGGGATAACGGTGGATAGTGGTAGGCAGTAACTGAACAAAAAGAAATTAAGTTAGACTTCTGAGTGGAAAAATAGGCTACAGCATTTTTTTTCCTATTCCATTTCCCCCCCTGCATCTGTTGATTACCTGATATGTCTGGTACAGACACGCCTGTTTTCAGATGCTCTCTTTCTGTTGTTTTGTGTTAGCCTCCTGGGATGATATTAATAGCACTTAGCACTTTTACTTAGAGAGGCTTATGCTAGTTCTCCTCCCTTTTTCATGTACAGTGCCCATTTTAGAGATGGAGAAATTAAAACTGTTTTTAGGTAGATGCTTCTGCTACCATATAAATGAGGTAGCCACACGGATTTTGTTACCATTAACAAACAGCTAAACAATCAAGTAAAAGATGCTAAATGTTTGCTTCCTATTTTCTACAGTGGAAAGCAGCTGACTTTTGGAGCTCCCCCACAAGCCTGCTCTAAGTATGCTTTGCAATACAGTATTCTTAGAACGATAATTTAGAATTTGTATGCAAATGCTATACAAATAGATACGCTGAACATTATTAGCAATCTTAAAATTCCAGAAGCCCATATTTAACATCTGTGTACATATATATGATTTGATCCAAAACACAGATATAAAGGAGCATCTGAAGCAGGAGGCCAGAAATTAAAAAATTAGCCTTTTCCTCTATGTTATCAATTATGACTGTTGAAAAATAATTTTTTAAATCTCTTCACAAACTAGAAAGTAAAAGAAAGGGACAGGTAATGTTACACACTTAAGATTCCATCTAGCTGTCCCAGAGTCTGATATGGTGAAATAGCCATTTTGATTTTACATCACCCAAGTATCTGCTCTAGTATATTTTCATCTTCCTAAGCACTTTTCCCAGCTATTTCTGTGCTGCGAGTCATTTAAGACTAATAGTTGCATTTTAAAAATGACTTACAATTTTGTCACCAAAATGGTGCACTTCACAGCTCCACCAGACTGCAGCATCGTAAAGCTAATTTACAGTTTTTACAACATTGCTTTTG